CACTCTGGAAAACAGGATGGAGGTTCCTCAAAAAGTTAAAATAGAGCTATCTACGATCCAGTAATTGCACTACTATGTACCCAAAGAATACAAAAATACTAATTCTAAGGGATACATGCACCCTGATGTTTATAGCAGCATTATATACAATAGCTAAATTATGGAAGCAGCTGGACTGTCCATCAACTGATGAATGGATAAAGTAAATGTGGTATAGGGGCATCTGGGTGGCTCAGTCGGTCAAGTATCCCACTCCTGATTTTGGCTCAGGTCATGATCTCACAGTTGTGAGATCAAGACCCAAGACCCACATCAGGCTCCATGCTGGGTGTGGAGCCTGCTTAAGATATTCTCTCTCTCTCCCTTAAAAAAATGTGCCAATATAATATATACATATATATTACTCAGCCATAAAAAAGAATGAAATCTTGCCATCTGCAATGTCATACAATTAAGTGAAATATTCAGAAAAAGACAAAGCCATATGATTTCACTCATGCAGGATTTAAGAAACAAAACAAATGAGCAAAGGGGAAAGAAAAGACACAGGGAGGCAAACCAAGAAACAGACTCTTAACTATAGAGAATAAACTGCTGGTTACCAGAGGGGAGGTTGGTGGGGGGATGGGTAAAATAGATGATGGGGATTAAGGGGTGCACTTGCTATGGTGAGCACCTGGTGTTGTATGAAATTGTTGAATCACTGTATTGTACACCTGAAACTAATATCACACTGTATGTTAACTAACTGGAATTTAAACAAAAACTTTAAAAAGTCAAGCTTTTTTCTTTCTTAGACATAAGATGATGCTAAAATTCATATTTAAATAATGTAAGAATAACTAGAAAAACTCTAAAAAATAGCCATGGGGGAACTGGTCTATCAAATATTAAAATATACTCATAAGTGTCTGTAATTCAGTGTGGTACTGGTATATAAACCAATGGCATGTAACAGAAAATCCAGATGTTGACCCACTCCTTATGGAAATAAGTAAAGGCAGTGATAATAAAGGCAGTATTTCAAATCAGTGGGGGAAAAATATTGACATTTTAGTAAATGATGTTGGGATAACCGGATAGATATTTGGAAACAGATGGAATTAGATCTGTTCCTCACACTATATACAATTCTTTCTGCCCTTCAGAGTTTACATTCTAATGGGGGTTGGGGGAGACAATAAAGTAAATAAGTTACCTTTACAATAAAAAATGGTAAGTGTTGGGAGAAGGGTACATGGGGAAGGGGAATAGGGAAAGAGGCGAAATAAGGTGCAGAGTTTGCATTTATAATATCTAAAAGTAGGGGCAGAGAAGGCCTCATTGATATGAATAGTAGCATTTGAACAAAAACTTGGTAACATGAAGTAAGCCATGTACCTAGACTTGATTCCAAACTAGATAAGGGCAGAAAATTACAAGCCAATCTCAGTCATGAAAATGGACACAAAATACTGTACAAACCAAACAACAATGTGCTTAAAAAGTTAATCCATCATAATCAACTTGGGTTTATCACAGGAATGTAGATTTGATTTAACATTAAAAAAACATAAATCTTACTCACCGCATTAACAAAATAAAGAGAAAAGATCATTTCAATAGATATAATAATTTAATAAAATGTAGCACTCATTCATGATTTAAAACAGAATTACAAAACAAGCAAACAAAATCCTCTTAATGGAAATCTTAGAATCATAACCTTTAAAACAGGAAAGAATGTCCAGTATTGCTGCTTCTATTCATCTTTGTACTGAGCATTCTAGCAAGTGCAGTCAGAAAAGGAAGGAAAAAAAAAAGCCTAAGAATTAGAAACAAAAATGTCATTATTCAGATGATATGATTATAAAATCTCAGCCTCTACAAATTATTAGAAGCAGTAAATGTTTAGCAAGTTGCTGGATATAAGATCATATCAGAAATCAACTGGATTTTTAAACAACAGCAGTTAGAACAAAATAACAATAAAGTATAATTTATAAATAAATCTATTTAAAGTGCAAACCCTGCACAGACAAAAAAAGACTTAACTTTATTGAGGGATATTAAAGAAGGTCTAAGTAAATGGAAAATATACTATATTCAAGCACAGAAGACTCCCACTTACTCAAACTGAGCTACAGATTTATTGCAATTCCAATAAAAATCCAACATTCGCCACCCCACCCCCCCACCATGGAACTTGGAAAACAGATTCTAAGGTTTACATGAAAAGCAAAAGTTCAAGAATACACAGAATACTCCTAAAGAAAATAAATAAAGTGTAAGACTTACCCTATTAGACAACAAAGATTTAATTAGGCTGGAATGATGAAAAACTCTTGTTTTTGGCACAGGTATAGAGGGACTGACCAGAGGAACAGGATAAAGAAACAGACCCAAAACATATAGAAACCTGTCATACAAACATGGCTGTTGCAGGGAAAGCATAAATTGGGTTCCACATAGGGCAAAAAAAGTAACTGGATTCTACCTTGACACTAGGCACAAAAATCGATTCTAGATGAACACTTAAAAAATAAAACGTTAGGGGCGCCTGGGTGGCGCAGTCGGTTGAGCGTCCGACTTCAGCCAGGTCACGATCTCGCGGTCCGTGAGTTCGAGTCCCGCATCAGGCTCAGGGCTGATGGCTCGGAGCCTGGAGCCTGTTTCCGATTCTGTGTCTCCCTCTCTCTCTGCCCCTCCCCCGTTCATGCTCTGTCTCTCTCTGTCCCAAAAATAAATAAAAAAATAAATAAATAAAAAAATAAATAAAACGTTAAAACCTTTATATTTTTGTGACTTCAAGATAAAGATGTGTTTCTTTGAAAAGATACAGAAAACAGTCATAAAGATTAATGTCTGGTATATATAAAGACTTATAAATCAATTTAAAAACCCCAAATAAGAGATTTTCATGGAAAAGGAAATGCAAATGGCCAATAAGCATAACAAGAGCTTAATCTTACAAGTAATTACAGAGACATAAAGACCCCAAAGTAATATCATTTTATACTAGAATGGCAAAATTAAGAAATGTGACTATTCTAGGGGTACCTGTGTGGCTCATTTGGCTAAGACAGACTTCCACTCAGGTCATGATCTCATGGTTCCTGAGTTCAAGCCCCAAATCAGGCTTGCTGCTGTCAACCCCAAGTTGCTGGGGGATCCTCAGTCCCCCTATCTCTCTGACCCTCCCCTGCTGGCACTCCCTCTCTCAAACATAAATAAACTTGAAAAGAAAAAAGAAAAAAAAATCTGACTATTCCAAGGGGTGAGTATATTGAACAATGAGAACTCTGTCGGTGGAACTGGAAACCAGTTCCCCATTACTGAATGTCATCCAGCCTATGACCCAGCAACTTCACATCCAGATTCTCTGCGAAAACTTTAGCATATATGTAGATCAAAATTTCATAGTGACATTGTTTATACAGGCTATATTCTGAAAGCAATCCACATGTCCATGGAATGAACTATGGAGCACTGAGTCACAATAAAATACTATACAGCAGTGAAAATGAAAGAACTATGGCTACACCTAATAATATAGATTCTCTTAGTGATGTAAAGAGATGCAGAATATTACAAAGAATACGGTACAATTTTTTCTTTTTTTTGTATGGCCCAAACGCAAACAAAACCAAGCAAGTTTAACGGCACATATGAAAGGCAACAAAATAAGAAAACAGGAGGATGAAGATTTACACAAAATTCGGGATAATTAAAAAAAAAAAATCTCTGAAAGGGGAATGGTGGAGGATGGGATGGTAAGGCAATCCTGAAGAAATTCCAAGGGTTCTGGTAAAATTCTACTTCACAAATGACATGGTGTTTAACCATGTTTCATTACTTACATATTCTTCTGCAATTTTCAAATGCTACAAAAATTTGAAACTTAAATTAAAAATCAAAACTAGAAAAGAACATACCTCAACCATACTAGACTCGCAGGCTACCTCCCGCAAGGCACTCTGGGTCAGCAGTCTCGTGGTCAGTTGCCCGTGGGGGCGGAACCTGTGGCCTTCTATAGGCATGCGCGCTACCACCAGCCAATCAGCGACGCCCCCAGACGAGGGTCGCTTGGCTTTTCTCCCGCGGGAATTCTGAGTTGCCTCAGAAGAACGTCGCGACAGCCAAGCGGATACCTCAGGTGAGGTGCTGGGTTGTAGGATGCTGGAGTGGCGGGGACACCCGTAGAAAGACCTATATCTGTGGCCATCGGCCATTGGGGGTTTTTTCAGGGGTGAGGAGGGGAAGATTTTGTCTAGCGCTGGAGAAGGAGCCAGGGGCTACTCTTAATTTGTGAGGCAAATCTTTCCGACTGGCACTACCTGGGTAGGGCCTCTGACAGGAAAATCAAGTCCGCGAACTTCACCGAGGGCAGTGCCTTGAGCAGGCTAGGGCCAGGTGGAAAGCCGCGGGCTGAGTGGGTTCTGACAGGTCTCGAGACCCTGAGCAAATTTATCTCTGGGGAGGAGGTGGGCCTTCGTCTGTAGGCGCATCTCTCCCTCGTCCCCGCCCCAAACCCGTCAGAAACAATTAAAATGAACCGAGGGCGTCTCTTCGTTTGTCCTCGATGTCTATGTTGTGAAAAATCTTAGGTGGAATTGTTATTTTCCGAGGCACAGATTGCAGAACGTTTTTATTTTATATTTATTTTGCTGTAAACTCATTTTGGGGCATGCTCACGACCGATCCTGTCAACAACTACAATTTCGCTGTGTGACTGAAATGCACAAACTAGATTTGCCTGAATTTAGCCAGAATCCGGCAGAAGCGGGACTAAAATTCAGATCTCAGTCCTCAGGTGCAAACTCACCGTCGACGCTGTCTTTATCTTCTTTGTTAACTTTCGGGCCAACAGATTAAGTGAGGAGACTCCCCAGATGTTATTCACCTAAGATAATCTTTATTTGATAGCGCTAATTTTGAAATTTACCGGTTTACTTAAATGGTGTCTTTGGATTCAGAAGGTTTGAGAGACTTATTTTTTAAAAGTCAGAAAACAACTAAATATGGTGCCATCTGGAAGAAAGCATACAGGGAAATCTGGGAAGACATCAGTGGAAGATCAGGTCGTAAGAGCCTATGACTTTGAGAAAGAAGATAAAAAGGATCTGAGTGGTTCAGAGGAGGATGTCACTGAAGGTACAGTATATCTAATATTGGTGGGCAGTGACCATGTCCTGTACTTCACTTGTTTTGAATGCACTACATTTTAAACGATGATAAAACTTTATTTGTAAAGCATTTTGATGTGCTTCACGTTTCTCATTTGGAGTTAGAAAAGCTGACACAGCATCTCTTGCCTTTACAGTCATTATTCTCCAGATGTCTGATTGATTGGTAAATAAAATATATAGCATTTATGGCATAAATAAATATAATATGTAAAAATAAGTAAGTACAAACCTGGCCTATTATGACATTAAGACGGGAAGACTTGCAAAATTGTTCCTATAAAATGGTCATGGATCCTGATTTAATTGCATCCAAACTGCAGAGAAAGTACTGTGTTTATATGTCTGCTTTAAACAGTAATGTTGGCAAAAAATCCTAAAAGGCCTCAAAATTAAGATACTACACCATGAAAAATTACCATGAAAAATGGCATACTTAGTTTTGAAAATATTTTTCTTTCTTATTGTCAATGCAGGGAAGACTCCAGTAATTGATAAGCACGGGAAGAAAAGGACTTCTGCAGGAATATTTGAAGATATGGGGTGATGTGCTCAAAATAATTTTTGCCTGTTATATAAAGTACTTTAAGAAAAGTCTACTTGGTTGTCCAGCAACTATTGTATGTAAAATACTGGGTGTGTGATATTTTGATCCTTCATTAAAAGCTTTTTGATGTAATTTCACAGGGGTGAAGTACAAAATATGCTGGAAAGATTTGGAGGTATGTTTTAGGAGATATCTATTTTTCATGTTTAGCTTTTTTAAATCATCTCTAAATTAAAAAATTTAGTTAGGAAAGTCAGAATCGGGATAGTAATAGCTGAAAGTTTTCTTAGAAAAAAAGTCTTGCTTTTTAATATTCTACTTTAAGATTTAATTTTAAATGTCTTTCCAAAACTGTTGAACCAACTGTACCCCTATTTAATTTGAACATGTGGCAACAAAATAATTTTCATCAACATTAAGTTTTAATAAGTATTTATTTTCAATAAAGCTGACATTAACAAGGCTCTCCTTGCCAAGAGAAAAAGACTAGAAATGTATACCAAGGCTTCTCTCAAGACTAGTAACCAGAAAATTGAACATGTTTGGAAAACCCAACAAGAACAAAGGTAAGGTTGTTGGTTTTCACAGACACAATGTTTGTATCATTTCTTAGTATCCATTGGTGCAAATTATGAAAAATACTATCATTTTCTATTTATTGGTGTCTCTGGTAAAAAATATATTTGGCTTTACTTTTCTCTAAGTCCTTTCTTTAGTCTTATAACCGTACTCCTTCCTAGACTTGAGATGATTTCCTAGAAACCAGTGATTATCTTTTTCTCCATTTAAATAACCATTGAGTTTTTTTTACTATAAAGGTTATTTATATTCATTCTATAAATTCACAGACTGAATAAAAAGTAAATGTCATCTAAATTATGAGTCTTGTGATAGTTACCTATTTAACAATGTAGAAAAAGATCAATCTTATTGTAAATAATCTGTATATTTTAGCTGATGGCTTAATGTTACTGTTTACAAAATCATTGTCATACCAAAATGGGGAAAAATTAAGTGAAATATTTCTATTTGGAAATCTTATATGATAAACATAGTAACTTCATTGAATCTGTTTATCATATCAGAAACTATATTCAGTTGGAGAAAATGAAAAACTGCATGGAGATAAAATGAAGTTTTCTGGAAAATTTGTATATATAATAAAACTTCCATAGATTTTAAGAACTAAAGCATACAAGAGGGATTTTCTGTCAGCTGGTTAGGAAAATAAATACTTCTAGAATCAGCATAAATCATTATTTTACTTTTTGTTTTCACATCTGAAAATTTAAGGAGCCATTATTTCCTTCCTTTATTGTAGTATTAATTATGTCAAATCAGTTTTGTTTTGAATGTTTTTTCTATTATTGGTATGAAATATGATAATACTCATTCTTATGTTTTACAGGCAGAAGCTTAATCAAGAGTATTCTCAGCAATTTCTGGCTTTGTTTCATCAGTGGGATATAGATGTGCAGAAAGCTGAGGAACAAGAAGAAAAACTAGCTGTTAGTATCACACTTAGTTTTATAATTAATCTATTATAACCAAGTGTCAAGTAGGAATGGAGAGCCTAGCTGTGTAGTAGATCCTTAACACTCAGCTGGGTTTCACTTCCCATGCTGGCTATGTGTTTTGGCCCTGCTGAACGGTAAACCAGAGAATTATGGGTACACACCGTATTTATAAAAGCTGTTGTTCCTGTATTGGTTGTGATTCTTGCAGTTCCAAGTGACAGAAATTGTCAAGGTACAAAAAACATTATTGGTTTATATAAAAGAAGTCCAGGAGTAGTTTGGTTTCAGGCATAGCAGGATGGGTATAAGGAAGGATTGTTTACATAGTGTCATTTGGGCTCTGTCTCCAGCTCTTAATAGGCTCTTTCGGTGTGGTAAGCAAGATAGCTTCTTGCATTTGTAAACTTGCTACAGGTTTAGTAACCTCAGTGAATTAAAATAGACTTTCTCAATAATTTGCAGAAAGAAAAATCCATTGGAGGAATATCATTGATCCAGTTTGGATTATTTGCCCATTCCTGAATGAGTCATTATGGTTAAAACATGGTTTACTTTTAATGACTAGACTGTTGTTACATGCCCATCTTTATAGGAGATGGAAGTGAGCCCCTCCCATATATAACTATGTTAACTATCCTTGTATTTAATTCTTTCATTTATAAAATTATCACACATTTCTTATTTAAGAGCTAAGGTACTATTCATATTAGATAATCTTAGGGGTTGGTTGATCAGCTCAGTTTTAGAAATGTTAATATGAAACAACCAAGGGGATGTGTTGAGTAGGCCATTGCTATATGAGTCTGGAGTTCTGGAAAGAGACATGAGTTGAACTTACAAAGTTGGGAATTCTCAACATAAATACATCATTTAACCATGAAATTGGATAAAATCACCAAGGGAGCAATTGTAAATGTGAAAGAGAAGTAAGTCTAAGAACTGAGCTCTGGAATAGGTACTTCAGTGTTTAGAGTTCAAGAAGATGAGGGAGAACCAGTAAAGGAGACTGAGAATGAGTGGCCTAATAGGTAGAAAAAAAGACTCCAAGTGAAGTCAAGAAAGCCTTTGAAGAGAGAGGATAAACTTTGTCATATGCTACTTATAGGCCACATAGGGTGGATTTGGCAATGTGGAGGTTGTTGGTGTTCTTGATCAGAATGATTTGGTAGAAAAGAGAGTACAAAAAGTTGACTGGAATGAGAATAAGAGAGAATAGGAAAGATAGAAATGGGGTGGTAGCCTGAGTAGAAAAGGAATAGTGTGTGGTTTTTTGTTTAAGAATGGAGAAAGAGCAACATGTTTGTGTGCTGATAAGAATAATCTTGAGGAAAAAATAAGGAATTGAAAGAGGGGGACAATTGCTAAATTCTTTAGAATGGTTGGGACATGTAAAAAAGTTGGCTGTAGCAGAGAACAAGGATAGTTCATCCTTAAAAATAGGAAATAAGGTAGAGTATGTGAACACAGATAGATGTAGTTGTGTAGGTAGATATGGTGATGGGGACCAAAGTTCTTTTTGGATTACTTCTATTTATTTAGTGAAATAATTAAGGTCATTGGATGGTAGAAAAGAAGTTGCTTTTTGAAGTCAAATGAGAAGGTATAAAATACTTTCCTGAAGAGTGGGCCAGTGAATAGACTAGGAAAATGTAATTTCCAAGTAGCGTTAAGGACCAATTTAGGCTAGTGATCACAGTGATCATGATTTAAAGTGAGACCTGCCAGCATATAAATGTGGGGTTTTCTGAAGTCATGACCAGCTACAGACAGGGTAGCTGGAAAGTTGAATTTAAAGAGTTCAGAGTAGTGTCTAACACATGGTTACTATGAAGTTTGCTATTGTTAATACTATGTAGAGGTTGCAGATACTGGCAATTACAACATCTAGGGTATGAATATGTGCATGAATGGCTAAAGTAGAATGGGAGACAAAAAAAACATTGGTGGAAAGTAGGCCAAGAAACTGAAAAATCAAAATTATTGGAAGGATTAGCCAGGGTGATACTGAAAGCACCAAGAATTAAAACATATTTTGTGTATTGTTAAGTGTTCCTACTCAATGGCTGTTAGGTTTATTACGTTATTGTTGTATATGGTGGTGAACTTGGTAATAATAGTTAAAATAGTGTTGATTAATTTTTTTAATGTTTATTTTTGAGAGAGGGGCACAGAGAGAAAGGGAGACAGAGAATCCGAGGCAGGTTCCATCCAGGTTCTGAGCTGTCAGCATAAAGTGAGATGCAGGGCTCAAACTCACGGGCCATGAAATCATGACCTGAACCGAAGTTGGATGCTTAACCGACTGAGTCACCCAGGTGCCCCTTAAAACAGTGTTGATACAAAAACTATACCTTTTAAACTTAATGCAGAATTATTTTTTGTTAAATTTTAAATTTTATCCAAATTGTTATAATTTTTTTCTTTTACATTTGTAGAACCTGTTTCGACAGCAACAAAAGGCTTTTCAACAATCTAGAATTGTTCAGAACCAGAGACTGAAAACAATTAGACAGTTATATGAGCAGTTCATAAAGGTCTGTTGTATTTGGTTATGTAATACATTCTTATATAACATTATATTTGGAAATAGAAGATAATTTTTTCCTTCTAAGTTTAAGGGAAAAATTTTGCTTACATATTTTAAATTCTTTCTATTTTGTTACAAGTGTTAAATATATTTTCATTTCAAGACTCTAATGTTATCGTGGGGATTATTAAAAACAGGAAATGGTGAATTGGGAATTTTACCTAAATTTACATATTATGCATAAAATTCATACTTTATTAACTTTAGTAATAGTTCTATCTTAACTAAAAATAGAATGTCCATTAATTATTTTAGGTAGTCTTTTACTTGTCTTTGTATCTCTAATATTTGCTAAATAGAAAGTACCCAATTGAAAATGAGGAATATCTTATTTTTTACTGTATTATATATGTGCTTTATGGTATATATGCTTTTAGGATTATTACAGTGACTAAAAATAGCTTTATATGCCATCTTATAATCGTAAGAGATGGCTCATAGAATAGAATGAAAAAGCCAGTTGATTAAAAATTTGTGGATTGAGAATTAGCTGACACATATGCATATTAGCAAATTGTGGTTTGTGGCATTGCCCTCTTATTCATGCAGATACATATTTTTTTAGTATCAGTTCATAGGAGTTCATTGGAATCCTGCATGTACTTTTTTTTTTTGATGTGGGGGATTCTTTTAGATAATCTTGTTCAAATATTAAAATGTCACCCCTTTTAAAGGAATTGGGATGCTCTGAATAAACTAGTAAAATAGTTTAAAACAATTATTTTTAAAGAAGTTTAATATGTATGTACACCAAAGTTATTTTTAAAAGTGTTTCCAATCAGGCGCACCTTGGTGGCTCAGTTGGTTGAGTGTCTGACTTTGGCTTAGGTCATGATCTCATGGTTCAGTTTGTGAGTTCAAGGCCCACATCGGGCTCCCTGCTGTCATCGTGGAGTATGCTTTGGATCCTCTGTCCCCCTCTCTCTGCACCCCTCCCAATTGCGCTCTCTCAAAAATAAATACATGTTTTTAAAAAAAAGATCCCAATCAGCTTGCTTTAATGCACTCTAAAAACCATTTGCTAATGGGTAAAGGTAGATGAAGTACTAGATTTTTTAAAAATCTTATCACTAAATGTTACACTTAGATTAGGAATTTTAGTATTGTATTTGATTCCTACATCTCCCTTATTCTTCACATCCATTTATTAGTAGGTCCTGTAATTTTTGCTTCTGCAGTGGTTCTCTCAATTCCCAGTGCTACTATCCTAGTTTACAACCTCATCATTCTTTGCTTATACTATTAAACCTCAACTGATCTTTCTGTTCTTCAAACTACCCTTCATAGGTCTGTCATACTATCTTCCTAAAACATCTTTTCCCTCCTGAAAAAGTCAGTAACTTCTCATTTTCAATTCTTAGGTATTCAAGATCTCCCTCCCACCCCAGCCCATAATGTTATCTTCTTTTTATGCTTCAATTACTACATTTGTCTGGTAATTCCCACTCCTCCAGATAATTGCTTTCTCTGAACTCACTCACTATATACTTCCATTATGCTTATGCCCTTGCCCTAAAATACTTTTACTTTTTCTTTCTCTATTGAAATTGCATTCTTTTGACAACTAAATTGGAATTAATCGTGTATTTTCTACTACATAGCCATAGCAAGTTGCATTTCCATTCCTGTTACAAAATTTTGCATTGTTTATGTTTCTTCTTACTGTGATAAGAGCGTGATCATGTATTATTATTTCTAAATTTTTCCATACACTTAATATAGTACTTTTTATATAGTAGGAGTTAAGATCACTGTTTGTTAGATGAATAGTAAAGATTTATAACATAATTTGTTTCTCATAAATTGAAAAAAGTATATTATAGATCATTTTATTCCCTCTAATAAATTCACACCCCACTATTAGTCATAATAATATAATAACATAACTACCTGATATTTTTTTTTTAATTTTTTTTCAACGTTTATTTATTTTTGGGACAGAGAGAGACAGAGCATGAACGGGGGAGGGGCAGAGAGAGAGGGAGACACAGAATAGGAAACAGGCTCCAGGCTCTGAGCCATCAGCCCAGAGCCCGACGCAGGGCTCGAACTCACGGACCGCGAGATCGTGACCTGGTTGAAGTCGGACACTCAACCGACTGCGCCACCCAGGCGCCCCTCTACCTGATATTTTGAAAGCTTATTAGAAATTTTAAAAATTATGGTATTCTTTTTTTTGGTTCTATTTTGACCTTAACAGCTCATTAACTTGTTATTTTGAGTAAAATACACTACTGTCGTACCTCCTATAATAACATTTGATTCCTGTCTGATGCTTTTTATTCCTTTAGTGCATGTCTTGGTTTCTTCTATTACTTAGAAAATTTTTATTTAGATAAATAGTGCACATTATTTAAAGATCCTACCTTTAAAAAAATTTTTTTTAAGTTTATTTATGTTGAGAGAGAGTATGAGCGTGAGCAGAGGAGGGGCAGAGAGAGAGGGAGAGAGAATCTCAAGCAGGCTCTGTGCTGCCAGTGCAAAGCCCAACATGGTGCTCAAACTCATGAACTGTGAGATCATGACCTCAGCCGAAATCAAGATGGGATGCTTAACCAACTCAGCAACCCAGGCACCGCTTTAATTTTTTTTTAATGTTTATTTTTGAGAGAGAGAGAGAGAGAGAGCACGAGTAGGGGAGGGGCAGAGAGTGAGGGAGACATAGAATCTGAAGCAGTCTCCAGGCTCTGAGTTGTCAGCACAAGAGGCCGATGCAGGGCTCAAACCCACTGACTGCAAGATTGTGACCTGAGCCAAGTCGGACACTTAACTGACTGAGCCACCCAGGCACCCCTGAAGATCCTACTTTTGAATACTAATTATACAAGTTTAGAATCTGAGATGAAAAGTGGTGGTAACTGAACTAGCCTTTTGCGTTTTAGAGTATGGAGGACTTGGAAAAGAATCATGATAATCTACTTACGGGCGCACAAAACGAACTTAGAAAAGAAATGGCTTTGTTGCAAAAAAAAATTATGATGGAAACTGTAAGTCACTATATTTTAAATTGAGAAAAAATAAGGATTAATGCAAGCACTGAAATATTTTATTTGCTGAAATATGTATAACACTTATCTAAAAATTAAACAAATGTTTAATATTTCCTTTCACATAACAGCAGCAGCAAGAGATGGCAAGTGTTCGAAAGTCTCTTCAATCCATGTTATTCTGATGACTCTTTGAAGGAAGAACTTGAACCTAAATGATATGATACAATTATAACATTAGCTAAGAAGAATGTAATTGTTTAGAGTGGTTTAAAAATTCTAGTTTAAAATAATACATCGTGTTAATCTTTAGCTTCAGTGCAAGAACCCCTTTCTGTTAACCTTCACATAAAGCTAAACAGTTATGTGAGTAGTAGCAATTCCTAAATTATATATACTAAGCCTTCAGTTCTTTAATAGTAATTGTGAATTTTTCTTTTTAACCCTTGTCAATTAATTTTTAGCAATAAAAATGATTTAATTTCAGGTTTTGGCTTCAGTCTGCATTAGTCCCAAAAGGTAGAAAGCACAAGCATAAAAGGTTAAATTGTTCTTCCTTAAGAAAAAATGTACAAAATCTATGTTATATATACATTCTATCATGTATACTCAGTAAGTTGCACAACCAATTCTAATGAAATTAAGATTTCAAAAGAAAATCTATTCTATTGACTTATAAAATTTATTAAAAGAAACCTAAGTTTGTGTTCAGAAATAAACTGCTAAAAACTATTAAGAAAACCAAACAAGATCTATAAATAATCAGTTTTAAGACGTGGATTTGTGAATATGTCATTTCCACAAAAACATCAAAATGCCATTTAATTGGATTTGGTCCACAATTAAATGACACATGCCCTTAGTAACGATTAAACGTATATCTAACATACTTAATTACTTATGGTTTAAATGCTTCACATCTGTCTTTAAGTTACCTAGAAAATATTTTGTTTTTCAGTTTTAATATTCAGTAAATATATAGAAGTTTGATTATATTCATTTCCAAACGAACAGTTGATTTTATACCTTGTCTCTAAAAATACGCATTTTTTAAAACATAGCATAACATATGAAACACTTGATTTAATAAATATTAAATTGTTTCACATTTGTTTGAAATAAGTTAAACTTACTATTTTTTGCTGAAATTGCTTTCATTGAATCAGTCAAAACAAAAATATGCCCTTAGAGGAAAAGGAGTGATTTTCTCCTGTTTTTCCATGTTTTAAATTCTAATTTTTACCCCTATTACCCACTTTTACCTTAGTTAAGATTTTCCAAGCCTAAAAAATAAGCCCATACTGATTCTCTTTTTCTAGCTGTGATAAGTTATACAAGAAAAAATTAATGATTATCTAAGGAGACAGTTCCAATTTTTTTTTTTTGCATTTTGTAAAGGACTTCCCTTTTAAGCCAAAGTTGGAATGTAAATCTTAAGTACTATTCAAACACTTTAAAAAGTCCTATCCAAACACTTTAAAAAGTTTACCAATAGTTAGAGGCAAAATAAGTACTCCAGAGTGATTTCTATGTACTTAATTTACATATTTTTTTCCTTTTAAAGAATAATCCCCTTTCACTATATTTTCAATATACTTTTTTATTGTCTAAGACACAGTATGTGTTCATTACTCCTTTAATTTTGATTATTTCATCGTATGGCTTAAGGTCTATAGACTGTTGGATAAAATTAAAAATAAGGTAAGATGGGAGTGTGAATCACAACAATCCTTGTAATAGTTCTAATTTTCATAATGAGCAACATAAATACTTTTAAGTGAGAGTGGAAAGATAATCAGTACATAATGTATTTAGTGGTGGGACAACTGATATTTATATCATCTCCCCATCATGAGCCCATGTGTATTTGAGGTTAATTTTGCTGAAATTTTAAAGGGAAGATATTGCCATGTTTTCATAAATTACTAATTTTCTTATGTCAACTGTGCTTTAGCTGCTGTTTAATGATTCATAAAAGGGAATGTTTAAAGTCCACTTTTTTGTGAAAATTAATTTTAACTCAGAATATCAAGGAATGTATAAAGATTCATTTGTTTTCTGAACTGGTAAGACAAATTCCTTTTAGTAAATACAAATTATAGAAAATTCCAGTAGCCCATTTAAATTCTAGTTGCAAGCAAGTATTTCTTTTTATACAACAGTAATTAACATACCTCTTTTGAAAAATGGCTAATTAAAAAAAAATCATAACATCATTTGACTCAATAATTACAGTATTACAATCCATGAACTTATATGGTATTATTAACTCATTTGTCAATTTTTAGCAATTAAAGTAAGCATTGCCCTTAATATGGCTAAAATCCTTTAAGTCCTAAATTTTTTTTTAATTTTTTTTTTTTTTTTTTTTTAAGCATTTATCCATTATTGAGAGACAGACACAGAGCATGAGCAGGGAAGGGGTAGAGAGAGGGTGAGACACAGAATCCAAAGTAGGCTCCAGGCTCTGAGCTGTCAGCACAGAGCCAGATGCGGGGCTCGAACTCACAAACTGTGAGATCATGACCCGAGCCGAAGTCAGTTGCCTCACCAACTGAACCATCCAGGCGCCCAAGTCCTAAATTTTTATGTAATCCCTTAGCAATGAAAACCCAAAGTATCTGATAAAGATTTCTGAGATAAAGAGACTCATCTTTAGAAGCACAGTGGTTTACTTTCTTATCCTCAGAAAATTGAAATTTCTTTCTTTGGCTTTCTTTTTAACTAATATATTGTAATACTCTGGTAATACCTGTGATCAGAAATGTCGATATACAGTGAGGGCTTTACAACTGAAATAAACATAATGGAATCTACAGGACTTAATGTTTTACATTCAAATATAACCTTATTTATTGTATACTAGCCTCCTGCAAAGGGGAATTTCCTTCACTCATAGGTTCCCCTAACTGCTTCTCCTCTTTTCCTTGGGCTATTAGTCAATATGCTTGTGAACCTGTTCAGGTGCTTCATGACATGAAGTCTTGAAGATATTTAGATGAAGGTGTCTTGAAATTTGCAGGCACAAAGCACTAAAGTACATCATCATATCAAATGAAGAAATGACCTTTGGAAGCAAAAAAAAAAAAAAAAAAAAAAAAAAGGATTAGGGCCTATCTTTTCTGAAGCAGCAGTTATTTTTCTGTCCCCTTCCCTACCCCACCGCCCCCCACCCCAGAATCTCAAACCTTAACCTAAATTCTTCAACGAGAAAACTACATTTTAGAGTACTTTCATATATTTCATATTTGGACCTCACTATAATCCTCTGGAACATGCAGGATATTTCACAGTTATAAAAACAGGCTCAGAATGGTAAAAGGCCTAGACAAAAATACAAAAGCTGGAAAGTAACAGAACTTGTCTTCTGACTCCACATTCTTTCAATTTTCTGCTATGCAACAAAGTCATAAATTTTCTGTTAGAAGGGACTATTAGTCACTTAATAAAATCATCCCATCATATACATTTCTTTTTCCTTTGAGATGGTTTTAAGAAATAAAGGCCTGGAAAAGACACAATAGTTGAGGAGAGGTATATACAAAATTGTGTTGAATACAAAATTAAGGAGAAAGGCACACTCTAAAAAGTTTATCAGAGACCAGGGGCAAATGCTTCCTTTCAGAGAAAGGAGGCTCACAGCTCTGCCAGTGGAGAGAGAATTCTCACCCATGAGGGGAAAATCTCCCATATCATTTACTTGAAAAGTTCTGTCTGACCATTTTGTCTCTGAAGCAAGGACCTTATGTTTTTGTTTGGTCCACAACCAAACTATATGTCATCATATAGTGTTTTTTGTTGTTTTTTAATTGTGATCGACATAGTGTTTTAGAGAAAAGTTCAATTTGCCTTCATCACCATAGTCTCTACCAGTGGCATAAACCAGGCCAACTCATGACAAAATAAGTACCTGAATTTTTTTTTTTTTTTTAAAGTAGGCTCCATGCCCAATGTGGGGCTTGAACTCACAACCCTTAGATCAACAGTTTCATGCTCTACTGACTGCGCCAGCCAGGCACCTGGTTCTTGAATTTTTAACACCTGATGTTTTAATTACATTAACAATTCCATTTGGCAATGTATATTTAACTTTAGTAAAAGAAACCCTACATTGAATTTTTGGATATTTTGAATAATTACCTCCTATTTTTAAAATTTAGATTATTTTGGAGCCCTAAAAATATGTATAGTGGATAGCAAATTAAAGAAAATTATTCTGATTTTTGAACACTTTTTAGACTATTGCCTGAAAAACTTCTGAGGATTAAGATTTACATCTCACTACCATTTAAAAAATGAAAGATTTTTGAATGGACCATGAATGGGTATTAAGCTATTTACTCCAGAAAAAAAATAATACTGTAGAACATAGTATAAGGATCATCAGATGTACTATGGTCCATGCACAGAACAGATAATATTTTAATGCTTAAATCTAACAAATACAGTAAATTATTCAAATTACCAAGAGATTCACTGAAGGATTTCTTTTAGCACACTTTAATATGTGTTTATGTATCACTAACAATTAGGTGAAAGTCACTGAGGTCCAGAGGTAGGGGAAAATACAGCAAAGTTGTTCAGAACCACTATTAACTGAAGACCATAAAGACAATATCTCAATAAAATAAAAAATTGAATAATGCTCCCTTTATCCATGTTTGTGATTAAGGTGTTAACAATAGTGATTTTCTTTTCTTCAGATGGCTAGAGCTTCTCTCTTAAGCACCATAATTCTATGTTTTATAATCATTTTGAATAGAAACTAATATATGTATTACGTATATACCACTTTCTTTTTTTTTTTTTTTTAATTAATTTATTTTTTTATTTATTTTTGGGACAGAGAGAGACAGAGCATGAATGGGGGAGGGGCACAGAGAGAGAGGGAGACACAGAATCGGAAACAGGCTCCAGGCTCCGAGCCATCAGCCCAGAGCCTGACGAACTCACGGACCGCGAGATCGTGACCTGGCTGAAGTCGGACGCTTAACCGACTGCGCCACTCAGGCGCCCCATGTATATACTACTTTCTTAAGTAGAATGTAGACAATGAGAATTTAACCTTTGCTTGATGAATCATCATTATTGATATAAATTATGCACTGTCCTCATGAGGCATACAGGTACATCAGGTTGCCTAATTCTAGCACAAAATGGTCCCAGAATCCCATACTTGTTAATACTGTCTTTTCTATTTTGTTTCTTCACTATTAGGTGACAGTTCTTGATGCAATAAGTGCCCACATTTGCTAACACTAACTCCATCTAATTTACCAGTTACCTGCTATAAGCTCGGTATAATTCTAACAAGCTTGATTAAGTAAAAGTCAGACACTTAATAAGTATTTGCAGTTCTCTGGGCAGAATGAAATCATTTTTGACATCTTTGTATTGTTTTTGGTAGGGGAGAAAAATATATTTTTAAGGTACACAGTTGTGTTTTTAAAGATTTAAGTTGTTGGAAGCCTGATCTCCAGATAATGTGGGCCATTTCTATACACACACAAAAATGATTCATGGCTTAAAAGGAGTATATTTTTAATATTCAGAAACATTTACAGTATACACAGTGAGGCTATCTGCTATCTCACTGAAATGACTCTTAAGCATAGGGTTATCCGACATCTATTAAGAATAAATAAAAATCTTGGCAGAAAAGAACTTACCATTGCTATCCAAAGAACAACATATTCGTCTATAAAATTATTAAAGTATTGGTCTAAAAATAAAAGACCTGGGCCAAAAAAGACAGTGTCTTGAAGATACAGTTCACTTTTGGTCATGTGAGCTATCTATAAAAAAGTAAACAAAATAATTTCACTATTAAGTTTTAAATATTTTAGCTTTTACTTTTCAGGACAGAATCATAACTTTAATTCACTATTAAGACAAAGATAAAGAGACCATTTAATCTCACATTTGATCCGGAAATACTGATTCTAAAACTTCTCAAATTCATGACTAGGTAGCTCGTTAAAGTTCCCAATATTTAAATTCCTTGATATCAAAAAGTTATAGTTGATAATTACAGCTAAACAGATAATTAAAAGACTTACCATACAGAAAGGAAATTATCTCCCTGAATATAACATTAACTCATTCACAGTTTTACTTAGAACATGAATAGCTATTTATTGTAATGATAACATCATTAAAAACCTAACCACTGTATGGAATACTTTCCAGCTTTGTATTTGAGGACCAAGTACATTATTTACACCATGAAATATAAATTAATTTCTTACCACCAATTTTTGTGAGACTTTAGCAAAGACACATCCAAACATCAGGGTATAAAGACAAGGATGCTTTTCAAACACATTAGTTGCTGACTTTTTATAGATCATTATTGCCAATATAATAATTATTCCTATGTGGAGTCCAGGTGACAAAACACTAGTGCCCTAAGGGATAAATCAGAAAATCAGCATTATATTTTAGCACTACATTTATCACAGTGCAAACATTTTGTGAATATCTATTTTGTGTTAAGAATTAGAGACCTAATGGGGCGCCTGGGTGGCGCAGCCGGTTAAGCGTCCGACTTCAGCCAGGTCACGATCTCGCGGTCTGTGAGTTCGAGCCCCGCGTCAGGCTCTGGGCTGATGGCTCGGAGCCTGGAGCCTGTTTCCGATTCTGTGTCTCCCTCTCTCTGTGCCCCTCCCCCGTTCATGCTCTGTCTCTCTCTGTCCCAAAAATAAATAAAAACGTTGAAAAAAAAAAAAAAAAGAATTAGAGACCTAAAGAAGGGAGAATGATGTACATGGCCTAAAGGACTATGTAGATCTTAACTGTGCCTTCAAACTTCCACAAAACTATAGGGTTACAAAGAGGTAATACAGTGCCACAGATGTTTGATTTCAGTTTTATATACACCACACATTTTAAACTAACAACCACTAAAAAGTAACAATATGATCTATTCTATACAAAATTTTACTATGCTGAAGGCATAGTAAAAATCCAACATTTGGATTGCTAAATTAACACATTTTTGTCCAGATACTGGAATAAAGCTTAGCCTGCCATTTTTATTATTTATTTTTTTAACATTTTGTTTTTTAAATTTTTTAATTTATTTTTGAGAGAGAGACAGAGCATGAGTGGGGGAGGGGCAAAGAGACAGGGAGACACAGAATCTGAAGCAGACTCCAGGTTCTGATGTCAGCACAGAGCCCGACACAGGGCTCGAACCCACGAACCATGAGATCATGACCTGAGCCGAAGGCAGACCCTTAACTGACTGAATCACCCAGGCGCCCCAAGATTTTATTTTTAAATAATCTCTACATCTAACATGGGTCTCAAATTTATAACCCTGAGATCAAGAGTCACATGCTTGATTGAGATAGCCAGGCATCCCAACCTACCAATTTTAAAAAATATTTTAACACTGATTAGGAAGAGTTTAATTCTGCCCTGGTCTCTCTATATACCAACACCTCCCACCCTCACCTTTTTTTGCATTTAGACTGCAAATGTCTTCTTGTGTAACACTGTAAATCCAGCCCATTACATTTTTACCTATGTGAATCAGGATTCTCTCAGTACTGCTTATCCTAAACAAAATTTAGACTAAAAAAATAGTGCATTTATCTGTATTATGGTTCTGTGGATTTTATTCAAGAAAATCTGCTGCTAAAACCATCGGAAAAGCACCAGTTTAAGAGTTAGAAATCAACCACTTCTTAGCCATAGTGTTTGATTTTTTATCTTCCTTCAAAATATAATCAATTATTTCTTAATAAAATATTCTCTAAAGTAGACATTGATCCTGACTAAATCTTATTTTCTTTAGTGGAATTCATGTTCCAGGTAGTACTCTATCATCCATGGTCAAGCAACAAGTATTCGTAAGTACCTCATGCAGTGCTGTCCTGAGATCAACTGAAGAAAACACTTCATAAAACAACAAATTAATTTTTCCAAACATATCAGGACTTATGTATCTATATGATTTATATTTTGGTTTTGAATTATGTACATAATATGTATTCATAAATATTGATAATTTATGAATTATGTGGATTCCTTTGAAATTGTCTTGAGAGCTAGTTTATAAGTCATTTAAGAGAATGAGACTTTTTTTTTACTAAAAATGTCATATTTCACGTTTACTACTCTTATTTATTAAATCTGGCTCCATATCACTTTCTTTTTTTTTCTTAAAATCAAATCTATCCTGAAAGGACAGAAATTTTGAACTACAATACCAAGGAAATCAAGGAGAGTAAGTTGCAGCTCAAATGATTCTAAAAAGGCATTCCAACAATGTTTTGACAGAAGATGATGTCTTCTGTCCTACTGGACTAAGTACTTATCTTCTTAGGTTGTTTGTTTGTTTTTTTAATGTTTATTAATTTCTTTTGAGAGATAGAAAGAGAGAGATAGGGAGAATCCCAAGAAGGCTCTGCACTGCCAGTGCAGACTTGGCCTTGATTCCATGAACCACTGTGAGATCATGACCTGAGCGGAAATCAAGAGCCAAAGGCTTAACCAACGGAGTCACCCAGGTGCCCCTTTATCGTCTTATGTTTATCTTAAAGATGACAATATGGCTTTTTTAAAACATAAATATTGTATTTGCTTAAAAAGCTGGCAGGAATTCTGACCCTTTCCCACATAAAAGCACTGAAGTTTAAAAAATATATATATAAATAAATACATGGGGCGCCTAGGTGGCTCAGTTGGTTAAGCGTCCAACTTCGGCTCAGGTCATGATCTCATGGTTTGTGAGTTCAAGCCCCGCGTCAGGCTCTGCATTGACAGCTCAGAGCCTGGAACCTGCTTCAGATTCTGTGTCTCCCTCTCTCTCTGCCCCTCCCTGCTCACGTTGTCTCTCTCTGTCAAAAAATGAATAAACATTAAAAAACATTAAAAAAATAAATAAATACAAAAGTATTATAGTATGAGCAAAGGGGATGGGGAAAAATAGTTACAGAGAGGGAGGGAGGCAAACCACAAGAGACTCTTAAATACAGAGAACAAACTGAGGGTGGACAGAGGGGTGGGTGGGGGAGAGGGAAAATGGGTGATGGGCACTGAGGAGGGCACTTGTTGGGATGAGCACTAGGTGTTATACATAAGCCAATATGATGATAAATTATATTTAAAAAAATGTAAAAAAACAGAAACACACGGTGTACCTATTCAACTTAAGAATTAAGGTTTAAAATTTTACTTTTTAAAATATTAGAATAATTTTTAAAAATTTTTAATGTTTATTTTTGAGAGAGAGAGAGAGAGAGCACAAGTGGGGGAGGGGCAGAGAGAGAGAAAGACACAGAATCTGAAGCAGGATCCAGGCTCTGAGCTGTCAGCACAGAGCCTGATGGGCTCAAACCAACAAACCATGAGATCGTGACCTGAGCCGAAGTCAGACGTTCAACTGGCTGAGCCACCCCGGCGCTCCAATAGTAGAATAATTTTTAAAAATAAATTTTAGTGAAATTTCACTAAAATTTACTTGATGAGTAATAAATTGCCCTGTATGTGAAGCCATGACCTTTGGCAACTTTCCTGCTATTAAATCAGGAACTCATTCCCTGAGAATGGAAATTCTTAATTATGTCCAGTAATGAGACAGTAGATGATTAAATAGAATGTCAGAAAAGTCTATAAGAAAAAGGCTTCAGAAAAGAGGAAAAATGCTTTATTGGTTAATATGTTTTAAAGTGCTTTTGTATTACATGCTTAAAAAGAAAGATAGTTCCCTTCCCTGTTCTTGGAACACCAGCATATTTTTAGTATTTCTGTATCTGGTTAAAAATAAAATTTAGAATAAAATTAGTAATAAATGATGATGAAATTAGTATCTTACTGCTATAGTGGATCCATTCTTGCCAACACCACCATGGAGGATAACATTGAAATAATTTGAACAGGAAAATATTGCTCCACCTACTACTCCAAGAACTGGAAAGATCTTCAATTTTATTTCTAGAATGGGTATCTTTAGGGGTAGAGGAAAGAAACAAATCATTAAGAAAATAGAATGTATTTTTCCTGTTAAATAGTAAAGAAACATTATCATATGGCCCTGTATAATAGGCTATCCTTTTTCTTGTATAAGCAAGCCTTAACTCCTAGATGTAGACTGAAGTGGTCACTTTTCTTTTAGTGGTTTTATTCATTAAGTGAAAAATGAATCCACCAAATTCAGGGAAGTCTACTTACATAACTGTGATGAAATATTTAATCTCATAAGCCTTCATCTGATTTAAACATGAAAAATGATAGTTCACTTGAATTTAGTACCTCTAAAAGGTAGCATCACAGGAAAAGTCAGACACCATGATCTGCATCATGAATGTGACAAATATCACAGTGTGTGTGCATGCAAGAATTTTGTGTAGTTAATATCCAGGATTAAATCTCTAACAGTATATTTACCTGTTGGTCAATTTGCTGTTCAAGAAAACTTCCAAAGGCAGCAAAGGATTTAAAAAACAGTAACAATAAATTGCCAAAAGCTATAGGCTAATGTGTTTTGAAAATAGACTGAAATTTATACTAACATTTGTGGAAACTACAGATGAACAAATTTAGAAAATCTACATCTAAAATAAGTATTCTTGTTGGTAAGAATAAGCAGGTGTGTTTTCTTCCTATGGTATTGTCAAAACATTGAATGAAATGATTTTAAGATTAAATTAAATTCTTCCCCATTGTAACTAAATCAGAATCAAATTTAAGACAACCACATCTGACTTAATAAATAACCCAACTGCCTCTAGGTCAACATTCACCTTTTTACGGGAACCAGCTGGGCAGCTAACATAAAAGACACATCGCATCCCTCTAGTATATTTGAGAGGCCTATAGTGGCATATCCTTGATTCTATCATTCTTACAGGATGAGAAGGAATATGAATGTCTCAGGAAATGTACCACTACTTAAAAATATGCTCCAAGTCTGAGCCCAGTGTTATGATCTGTAGCTGGCAATTCTGAAATTAACTGCCTTAGAGAAATCTTACTGTTTTTTTAATAGACTTAATTTTTAGAGCAACTTTAGATTCATGAACAAAATTGTATGAAAAATACATAAAGTCCCCATATACTCTCTACCCTCAACCCCCAGGGTATCCCCTACTATCAACATTCCCCACCAGAGTGTTAACATTTGTTATAATACACGAACCTATCCTGACACATTATTACTCAAAGTCCGTAGCTTCCATTACAGTTTACTCTTGATGGTATATACATTCCATGAGTTTGGACAAATGCATGACAGATATCCACCATTATAGTATCATGCCAGAATAGTTTCACTGCCCTAAAAATCCCCTGTGCTTTTTCTATTAACCCTCCTTCTCCAGTAACCTCTGGCAACTGCTGCTTTTCACTGTCTCCATCATTTTGCCTTTTCCAGAATGTCATATCATTAGAATCATACAATATGCAGCCACCTTTGCAGATGGTTTCTTTTGCTAAGTAATATGCACTTGAGGTCCCTCCATGTCTTTTCATGTCTTGATAGTGCTTTCTTTTTAACACTGAATAATATTCCATTGCCTGCATGTACCATAATTTATCCGTTCACCTACTGAAGGACATCTTGATTGCTTCCAAGTTTTGGCAATTATGAATAAAGCCGCTGTAAACATCCATGTTCAGGTTTTTGTGTGGACATAAGTTTTCCGCTTATTTGGGTAAATATCAAGGAGCACAGTCGCTGGATCCTATGGTAAGAGTATGTTTAGTTTTGTATCTCTTACTATTTTTACCGGAGGTATATATATATCTATGAGTGACTAAAAACCTAGAGTCTGGAATTTGATTTCTTAATTCCAGTACTTACTAGCTATGTGTCCTTGGAGTAATTACTTAATCATTCTAAAACTTATTTATACAACAAAATAATGATAGTATCTATTTCATGTATTGTACTGAGGGTCACAGTGATGGTAAACTGTGGGAACATAAGGTGTTCAGTAAATGTTATTTGTTAGCTATTGATATTATCCTTCTTATTCTTAACTCTATGGGCATGAGGTTGTGAGTCAGCCATTGTTATGGACTTAGGTTGTAAAGATAGAATCATTTATTTCTTCATAAATTCTCTTTCTATGCAAAGCATGAATTTATCCCAGTGGCCTCCTGAGAGTCAACTTTTACCAAAACACTGAGGCCAACCAAGCAGAAAATAAAAACACTCCTTAATATGGGAAACTTTACCTCATAGTAGATTATAAAAAATGCAAATTATTAACTCTTATTTCCTGATATTGAGGGACAAGTTTCAAACATGAAATATTTTACTGAATTTACTCTTTCATATATCTGTTTTATGAGATAAATTTTAGTCTGGAAAAGGTAGTTCAACGAGCGTGTTAAATTTTGTATTAGGGCAATGGGGTCATTTTCTTCTATGTGATAATATATTCGTGCATAGGGAAAAATGCCATAATAAGGTATATAGGGATAGTAAAATTACAAAATGAAGGAAAAAAGGTTAAGAAGTGGTATGACTAGTAACTACAATGTGAAGAATTTCTAAATAAAATTAACAATGCATTTTCCTAAATATTTGTAAAGTACTTAAATATAAATTTAAATATTCAGATTTACCGTATAGTCCCACATTGTTGCTCCTCCAAGTGTAGATAATATAAAGACGATCACTAAAGCTACCTGAATTTCAGTTACATCCACTCTAAAGAGGAAGCACAAAGAATAGAAAAGATGTTTGTAAATAAAATTCCCGAATATGAAGATCAGTTAACCATATGTTAAATATCAAATATGTTAGAATCTTCATAAGTTTAGCTTATTTGTACCTTTAGGTCTATCACTGAATTATCAATTCACACTGTTGAACTGAGCACACTGAACAGTATGTGCTCATATACAGGTAAACATTAGGATATGCATGGGGGAGGGAAAGCTTGTATATCATGTATAAAATTGCTGAGAGCAGTTATCATTGAAATTACGGAAGGATTTTACTTTCTACTTCATGTACTTCTGTAACATTTGAAGTTTTAAATAACAATCATGTATTAGTCTTGTAATGAGGAAAAATTAGAATAATATAAAAACAACCAGGTAACTTAGGACAAATTCTTAAACACCCAAGTGAATTTCACTTAAAAAGTAGGGAAAATTCAAACAGCTGTCCTAATATTAGGTTACTAGTAGTCATTATAGTTTTTTGGTTTCCACAGACATTTTCCCCTACATGAACATGTTAAGTTTAAAAACAAAAAACAAAAAACAAAACTCCACTAAACCAACCAACATCAGTCTCTAGTCTGCATTCTCTGAAGCTACTGACCCCTCTTCTCCTTTGCTCCATAAACAGACTAACTGAAAAGTGGTCTACATTTGTAATTTCTTCCTCTTCATATTTGCTGCTTTTTTACTGTCGTCTGGTTTTTGGCCCCATTCTACTAAAATTGTTTAAGGTAAACAATGACTTTCAATTGATCGAATCTAAGGGATACATTTCAGTTAATATCTTGGGTAACTTCTCTGCAGTCTTTAAAATGCTGATCATTCCCTTTCTCAATGTTTTGCTATGTTCTTATTTATTCCATGCTCTCTCTTGATTCTCTTGCCTTGCTAGAAACTCTTCTCATGCTCTTTCCTAGACTGCTGCTTCTTCCACATCTGAAATGCTACCATTTCCATAATTACATCTTTTCTCCTTTTAGATTTTCTGAACGATTTTATCTATACTTAGATTACCATCTATAGGCTAAGGACCTCAAAATTCCTATCTCCAAATTCACATCGTTTTTTCTAAGCTCCAGGTTTCTATATCTGTCTACCTACCTGACATCTCTGCTTGGATGCCCTGGAGTCTTCAGATGCTACGGGAATACTTATTGCTCAGCAAATATAAGACATGTAGCGTGGTCGATTAGATGATAAATTAAAACCAGGCAGGGAAGAAGACTTCCAGACTAAGTTACTTGGGGACAGTTAAGAGAAGAAGGTGAACTGAACATCAACCCACAAAGAAAAGGAAAATATAAAAATGGTAGCCAGTTTTTTTGTTTTTTTGGTAAGATCAGTGGCAGGCAAACCAAGGCCTCCAGGCTGCGTAGAGAAATAGTCAAGTTGGCTCAAAAATGTAAACATAATAGTATAACATGTAGTATTTTGTAGAGTAAAAAGAAGAAAAGTACTAACACTGAGCATCTATTGTGAGTCTTATGAGCTATAAATTATTCCAATAAATTATTTTTTGGAAAGGGAAACTGAAATGATTTTTCCATGCCTGTACTGGAACAGCTGACAATTGCCATAGGAAAATGAGTTCATAGCCAAGCTCTCTTCCCACTATACTTACGACTCATACCAGAGTTCTGTGCTCTTTTCCAGTAACAGGGGTAGAATTACACTAAATTATCCATAATTTCCCCAGGGTATGACTAGTGACCAGAAGCAACTAGGAAAGATGGCAGGGATTATAGAATAAATTTTCTCTCAATGAACTAAATGACACATACGAGGATTGAGCTAGGAACCTGGGTTTCACATATGCATCATCATGTCACAGATTTTATATTAAACTCAAAGTTTCATTCTCCCTTAATGACAGTTCTTGAGTCTAGAAACAAGAAAGCTGAAAGAATATGATAAAAAGAGAGAATCACTCACCAAATACTCAAATATTTGAACTATGAAGAAAGAGTTGAAGCTTGAGAAATATATTATGCCTAATATATTTAAATAAAAGAATATTCTGTATAACAGTTTACAACGAGAACTCATTAATGGGTCCAAGTTTTTAAAATTTGGATCCAAAAAAATACTAAAAATCCAAGAAAGATGGACCCTGGGGATATTGTGTAAGTATATCCTTAATCCCCAAATTGTTATCATGAAGGACAGTCTACAACAGTGCTATTGAAAGTGTGGTCTAGGGTTAGTTACCAGTCTGCAAGGAGTGAAGGGGAGAAATTGAGACTAAGCATTTAAAAACTTCCATGGTGGGGCGCGTGGGTGGCGCAGTCGGTTAAGCGTCCGACTTCAGCCAGGTCACGATCTCGCGGTCTGTGGGTTCGAGCCCCGCGTCGGGCTCTGGGCTGATGGCTCAGAGCCTGA